CTCTGCAGAGCCTCTCTACCCTCAAGCAGATGGAACTTCCTGGGTTCCAGTTTCTTTGAAGAGACCTTCAAAGATCATCTAGTCCAAGCCCCCTGCCATGGACAGGGACATCTTTCACTAGATCAGGTTGCCCAAAGCCCCATCCAACCTGAGCTTGAACACTTCCAGTGCTGCAGTATCCACAACTTCTCTGGGCAACCTGTTCCAGTGTCTCACCACCCTCATCATAAAATATTTCTTCCTTATGTACAACCTGCTCTCTTTCAATTTAAAACCATCACCTCTCTACAGACCCTGGTAAAAAGTCTTTCTCTGTCCTTTTTATAATCACCCTTCATGTATTGAAAGGCCAGAATAAGGTCTCCTAGGAACCTTCTCTTCTCCAGGCTGAACAACCCCAACTCTCAGCCTTTCTTCATAGCCCCTTCCTTCCAGAACTGCTTTTTCTGAATGATGGCTATACCCACTGGCAAGGCACAGATCTACTGCTTGACTTGAGTAAACAGTACCAACTGCACACCTTCCTCCTGCAATAAAGGCTTACCTTTGTAGAAGGGACTCCTCGGGTTTTAGCTCTGAGCTTGTTTGCTTGACTCTCGGCAATATCTGCCCTTTCCTCAGCCTCTTCTAGTTTATGCTGTGCTCTTCTGAATTTTGAGAGATTAGTATTGGCTTGTTCATCCTGAAATAGTAAAATAAAAGGTACTAAAAACCATCTGGTAATGTGCTGGGGCACAGAGCCAACTTTTAAATTGACAGTCCTAGACAATGGTAAATAAGTATTTGCTTCAGTTTAGTGACTCACAGCTTCCTCAGCTTGTCTTTTGTAGGACTTGATTTTCATCTGCAGTTTATCTACCAGATCTTGTAACCTCATCATGTTCTTCCTGTGTTCTTCATTCTGTGGAAAGGCAATGTGCAATTATACATCCTTGGGAGACAAAATATCAGGAGAATTGCTTTCTATTTACACCCACCTGGAAAGTAAGCTCTTTGACATGCCGTTCGTATTTGTGGATGTTTTTCATAGCCTCTGTGGATTGTTTATGTTCTTCTTCCAGCTCAGCTTCTAACTCTCGGACCTGGTGAATCAATCAACAATTGGCTTGCGCCCTCAGACAGGACACAGAGAAGAAAGGTTTCTTTGACACCCATGTCCAGTGCTGGTACCCACTCTCGCCTCCAGCTTCTGGATTTGCTTCTTGCCCCCCTTCAGCGCCAACTGCTCAGCCTCATCCAGACGGTGCTGCAGGTCCTTCACCGTCTGGTCCAGGTTCTTCTTTATCCTCTCCAGGTGGGCGCTGGTGTCCTGCTCCTTCTTCAGCTCTTCTGCCATCATGGCCGCCTTGGAAGGGAAGTGACACAAGAAACTGGAAGAACGTGAAAGGACAGTGCATGCTGTGTACTGCCTCACCATTTATTCCCGGTTCCTGCTGGCCATTCCTGCCACCACATTTGCTCCTTTGTTTTTTATTGTGACATGACAGTGGCAGAAACATGATAGGAAATAGTAGGAAAAAAGATGGGGAAAAACTCTGCCTTGCTGCACACGCAGTGTTGGAACGACAGAAAGGGTAAACGCTCTGCCCCACGGTATGCTCACTGCTCTGACCTTCACTGACACCCAGGTGCCATGGGGCAGAGCAGGAGCCACGGCAAAGCTCGGGAGCAGGACGCGGTACAGCTGAAAGGCTTCTCGGCATAACACACGTGGAGTGGGACGGACTCTGTGTGCTGTGCCTTAGGGCCTGCCCTGTTATTACCACAACAGCCTAGATGTCCAGTGTTACACAGCAGACGGTAGTTTAAAACAATCTGTGCTATGTAAGACAAAGTTCGGACATATTTTGCTCTCAAATATTTCATTCCTACACGATCAAATTAAGCATTTCGGTGAAATATTGAGTGACATTACTTTAAAAAAAGTAAAATTCAACAAATTGCTTTGGCAGCAAAACACCTGAAAAGGTCTAAATTGAAAAACGTGAAAATAAAATAATGTCACTAGAAATTTTATATGTGTGTATGTGTATAGTTCATTGTAATGCTCTATTTCTGTTTCATAAATTACCTAATTTTTTTTTTTCATTTTCATGAGCAAGTGGAGAAGTTTTCCTTCTATTTTAACTCCAGATAATGTTTTTAAGTGTTAAGATACTGTTTTGATCCTATGCATCAAAAATCATTAGCAGGTTGGGTCCCATGACACACAGCCTACTGCCTGGCTGAGCTTCGCTGGCCTTGCACAGGAGGATATAGACCAATTTTGAATGGAAATACACAATCCTCATTTGAAAGTTCTTAAATAGGATTTTGAAATGATAAATATTTAAATACATTAGACATTTCACTGGTTTCAATACTGCAGGATTTTTTGGTGGTTTACATTTTCATGCAGCACTGGAGAAAGTTATTTGGTTTAGACTGACTAAACGTGGGTTTAGTTCATTATGACGACAACATTCCCAGTAACTCCTCTGTCAACATGACAAGTTCTCTATTGCTCTAATCCTCCTCTGACATGTAGCCTCTCCAACCAGGCCCACAAACTGGTTCTTTGTCCAGCTTGTGACAAGAGTGTTTACACTAACTCCCAGCAGCAATGTCATCGGGAAGCCCTGAAAATTCAAAGAGAAAAATACAGTAACATCCTCACATCGGTGATTGCCTTCTTTGCTCTTTCTTCAGCACTTTTTGCTTCATTAGTAATGCCTTCCATCTCGGTTTGGATTTGTGCCATATCAGTTTCAAGCTTCTTCTTTGTATTAAAAAGGCTGGTATTCTATGAAGGAGAATAAAAGAGGCTTTGAGTATCTGTCTTTGGTGTCTTACACACAGAGATCATGACTTACTGTTCATTCTCACTCTGTGAATCTCTGGACCCCAAAATACGTCTGTCTTAGCAAAGCAAACTACCTGGGTATGGAGGAGCTGCACACGTTCCGTGGCATCCAGAAGCTCCTGCTCAGCCGCTTTCCTCGACCGCTCCGTCTGTTCCAGGGCTGCCCGTAGCTCCTCAATTTCAGCCTGCAGCAGGTTGGCTCTGCGCTCCACCATGGCCACCTGCTCCTTCAGGACCTCCTGCGTCCTGACAGCATCGTCCAAGTGCAGCTGTGTGTCCTAAATACAAAGAGCCAATTTTGTCCTAATGAATTTCTCGGCTACTGTGCTTAAAAATAAATCGACCAGAGAGGTAAACCAAGACCTTGAGAACTCCCTGGATGCTGTGCAGGTGTTTCTGTGCCTCGGCAGCCTGGCGGTTGGCATGGCTCAGCTGGACCTCCATTTCATTCAGGTCTCCCTCCATCTTCTTCCTCAGCCTTACGGATTCACTTCTGTTCCTGATCTCAGCATCCAAAACACCCTGCATTGTGTCCACAGTCCTTTGATTGTTCTTTTTTAACTGGCTGATCTCCTCATCTTTCTCAGCAATCCTTCTGTTGATTTCTGATTTAATCTGAGTCAATTCTTGGCTGACACCAAGGATTTTGACCTCTTCATGCTCAAGAGCTGCCTTTAAAAGAAAAAGAAGGAAAAAACCCACAAAAGTAACATTTCAGAGAACATAATCATTGTGACATCACTCAGTGACTTCATACAAACTCCTGACGTTTGTGGCAATCAATCTTGCACACAGCGACTGCCCAGAAGAAGAATAGAAAGCTGTTCAGTCTGCTCTCTACTTGTTCCAGTAATATTTAAACTAACTCACCTCTGCCTCTTCCAGAGCTAAGCGCAGCTCAGATTTTTCTACTTCAGCTTGCTTTTTGGCTTTCTCAAGGTCTCTGATCATTTTGCTGTTTTCAGTTATTTGTTCAGTCAGATCAGCTATTTCCTCTGTGAGATAAGAATGACATCAGCCTGTGGTAGCCAGAGAAGTTGAACTCTATGCTTTCTGATTGCTTTCAACACCTCTTTTGTATACCTGCATATATACACATGTATGCACACACGTACAGGTGTATATGGTTGTGCACGTGTATGTCTCTGTATGTACAGACAGAAAATGGATGCGGCCAACTCCTGCAGGACGACATAAACACAGGGACATCAGTGGGGTTTCATAGCCCACCTTACAGAGAGCCTGGACGAGACCTGCATGTGTTTATGTCTCTGGACAGGCCATCAGGATAACACTACAGGTCTCGTCATTCTATGTGCACAGTGCATCTGTAAAATTCACCTTCACAAGCCGTACAGCCTCTAGAGGGCACCACCTCGATCTTGCATCCATCTGCAGCCATTAATGGAGAGCTAGGACACTTGCTTTATTACCCTAGTCTTTACAAACTTGCTCGACAACGTTTGGTGAGATACTTAAATTCTCCATTAAAATGGAGAGAATAGTAATGACAGAGCCCTGTAACTTAGTGTACCTCCTGCAGACACAAGCACGTTTGTACAGCATGCCTTGTTGTGGTTCGAGTGAACAGCTCGTGGGAAACCAGAGTCAAACACTTACGCCTGAGGGTCTTGTTTTCCCGCTTGATTGTTTCAAGCTGATCTAAGGTTTCCTCATACGCATTTCTCACTTTGAAAAGCTCTGTGTTCAGTGAATGCGATTCTTTAGAGAGAGCTTCCCTCTCCAGCTGGCTTTCCTCATACTTTCCCTTCCATTCTGCCACAACCTGAAAGACACCGTGTTTCATTTCCTGCTAGTACTGAAAATATTACTTTACTTGCAGCTATTTTCTGTACTAGATAAATACCACAGCCTTTGAAAACAGGTCGAATTCCTGTTGCCATGCTCTAGAGGAGATCATAACTGTTAGATTCAACTTGATTTCAGTATTAAGTAGTGGGTATTAGTTTGGCCTGCTAGGAAGGCTAGATTTAAAAGATTCTATGCTCACTTATCACCTTATCAAAGTTCTGCTGTTTCTTGTCAAGGGCAACAGCCAATGCGTTTGCTCTCTCTATGTCCACTGTCAGATCTTCCACCTCCCCCTGCAACTTCAACTTCATCTTCTCCAAGGAGGCGCACTTGGAATTCACAGTCTCCGCCTGCTGCCCTGCTTCCTGGAGACGCTGAGAGAGCTTTTTCCTTAAGAAATACAAATAAAACAAGCAAATTATTAAAAAAATCAGTGTATTATTTACATAACATAATGAGTACAGAATCAGAAGTATTTTTTTTAATTAAGTGTATATGCAAACCCCGATAAAATAATTTAGGTCAGGCTACATAATGTACGTAAGATCTGGACACTTCATCTCATCTATCACCTACTTGGCCTCCTCCAGCTCCTCCGTGCGCTGAATAGCGTCCGTCTCATATTTGGTTCTCCACTGGGCCACTTCGCTGTTGGCCTTGGACAGGGCACGCTGCAGCTCCCCCTTGGCTTCCTGCTCCTCCTCGTATTGCTCCCGGAGCAAGTCACAGTCGTGGCGAGCAGACTGCAAGGCGTGGGCCAGGGCGCTCTTGGCCTAAAAATTACGCATAATATCATGTATTTATGCTAGTTGTGACCCCATGACCTTGCACACTAAACATGTGGTCACTGAAGCTTGGGCAGAAGACAAAGGGCCAGAGGTTTGTAGGTGTTCAGGCAGCTATCTTCAGCTGCAACCAACTTTTCTCAGCCCTACCACTAGAAAAGACGTAAGAGTGATGCTTTCACCTTGGCATATGCTCTAGGTCTCCTTCCCCGCGGCTACAGAAGCAAAAGAAATCACATAGACCATGGCTTTAAAGTTAAAAAATGCATGAAAAAATTCACCAAAAATGGAACGACTTTTAACATGTCAGAGACCCCTTTAGCAAAGCACTTAAACACAGAGCTCATTGCACACATCCTGCCTACCAGCAATTTTGTTGTGTTAGACTGTAGGCAACAATAACTTAGCAACTTCCAAAAGTGTATTTTAAATGAACTGAGGCCCTGATACATTTTGAAACTTTAGTATGTGCTCCATAGTTAGCGCTACCTTGATCTCTTCCTCTAGCTGCCTTTTAAGTTCTTCTATTTGCTGTGTAATTGCCTGCTTGCTTCTGGACAGTTGCAGTGTGATGGTCTCTTTCTCTTCAAGCTGACGGCTTAGTTCACCTGTGACAAGAGAAGACATGTCTCCAGTAAGGTCCAGATTAAGCATCCTGAAAACATTCATATATAAATAATCAGTAACAGACAAGTGGAATCACATGTTTATCTTATCAGCCTTTACCTTTATGTATATACTTTTACCATTTCCATCGCATATATTTTACCATGTCATCTTTACTCTTAAAGTAATGAGCGTTTAGTAATGAAATCATGAGACAGATATGTCTCCTCCAACACTTATCTATTGTATCTCCTTCAACATTACTCCTATTCTGCTTTAATCATGAGTTTTACTTCATTCAGACTTCCACATACACATGCTTAACCCACAGTTCTCTCACTTTAACTACTTAAGTGCATAGCACTTAGTTACTCTATGGTTTCAAACTTTCCTTTCTCTTTCCTTTCTTGTTTGTTATCCATTCTAAATTTCTTCTATACTGATACTACTGATACCCTTTTTTAGAAGAACATTAGGCAATCCTGTCTCTAAGTCCAGATGCGTCTCTTCAAGTTGTATCACTCTTTCTCACTTATTCTGCATTTCCTTCCCATTCCATTTTACCATACCTTCTACTAAACACTTCAATACTCTCCAACGCTTTGCGTGGGTTCAGTCAGTTTCTTCTGCTTTCCTACCCCTGTTAGCGACCCTTACTTGACTTCTTTCTCTATTCATCCGCTCTGGAAATTTCCTTTTCTCTGCTGTTCATCTGCTGGTGAAGTCTCTGTAAGTCTGTGGTCCTGCTTAGCCCACACAGGGAATTTTCCCTGTTTCTTCCTTTTTTCCTAAACCCACTTTAAAACACTTAGTAATATTCTGTACTAGCTTCACAACTGATTCCAGGTAGGTTTCCCTACTTTTTTCCACACAGGTGCTTGCAATATATAGTCCGGTGCATTCGGGCACCCAGTGCTGCTGCCAGAGGACCAGAGCTACCTGTGCTCCATGAGGACTGGGTAACTGGCACGCGGTATTTTGTCCTGCCCGTATCTCAGTGACTCCCCACCGTCTCCCAACTTACGGATTAATGTTAGCGCTGCCAACGCCATTTTTGCCTTACCTATTGCCTGTTGGGCAATTTGACTTAAGGCAGTCATCGAGGCAGCCATACGATGATCTCTTGGTGCATGCTGTTTAGTAGCAGCAACACCTGGAAGGCCAACCCCAGTTCTTTGCTCAGAAGCAGAGGATCATATTGGCGAGCCAGTGTTTGGTCAGAAAGACCCTCAGGGCCTCCTGTTTTCATCAGGTGGTATGTATAATCCTGTAGTCTTTGCACATGACAGCCACTACCCTCTTGGATGTATCCTCAGTTATAAAACCTGTTGTTGATGATGGCATTTGCCAGCAGCCTTGGGCTGATACGGCAGATCTTGGTTTTCTGAGTTTGGTAATTCTTTTGTATTCATCAGGACCACCAGCCTCCCGAGATTATCAGACTTCGGGAGACTTTCACATGCTTTGCCCTCTTTGGTCTGCTTTTTCCTTGTAACTATATCTGCATCCACATCCAGATGTGCCTACAGAGCTCGTTCACATAAATTCACATAAAAAGGGTTTTCAGGGGAGGTGTAGCCCTATGTCTCAGCTACTAGAACAGTGTATGTCAGCACTCCCTGATCTGCTATCATGTAAAATCCCCAAAATTCAGGTTAGTTTAAGCCAATTCAGTGGCATTTTAATTTGAGATGTCTGACCTTGCAGTCAGCCAGACCAAGGAGCATTCATACTCCTCACTCACACTGTTCCAACAAGTCTACGTAGGAGCAGTGACAGGCTTCATGAAGGTAGCACACACACAGATACTGCAGACACAGTGAACACGGGCACTCTTGGGAGAGAAAGTGCAGTTCTAACAGGTGGCTCAAATCATTTGGGACTGTCCCAAATTCCCAGTCCACCCGCCAAGAATCAGCGAGCTATGTCACATCACCCCGGGAATTACTTATCTAAGCAAATAATGCCTGCAATTGGTATATGAACTTTAAAGGGTCACCTATGAGCTCATTCCCTTTGATTTACTTCTAGTATTGTCTGTGTCTGTACCAATGAGTCTGAAAGTAGAATATGCACCTTGGGAACCAGGTCTCACTCATGATACATGTTAGAGGGTCTCTGCTACTGAAGGGAAAAAATATCCCCTCAGCAGATCTTTGTGCCTTCCTTACCAGACTCTGTCTGGAGCTTGGCTTTTTGTATCATCATCTCATTCATATTTCTCTGGTTTTCCTCGAATTTGGCTTTCATATCTCTCACCTGGTCTTCCAGGGCACGGTACATTTTTTCCAGATTAGCCTGAAAGAAAGCAAGAAAGTGGAATCTGTGTATGTGTGTTTGTATTGCATTAAATTCCCACCAGTCAGAAATATTGCCCATTCAAGTATTTCAGTTATAAAGAAACACCTTGGACTTAGTAATGGTCTCTGTACTACTGGCCAAGTCGTCAATCTCCATCTTCAGCTCGCTCTTCTCCTTCTCCAGCTTCTGCTTCACACGTTGCAGGTTGTCGATCTGCTCCCCCAGCTCCGCTGTGCTGTCCGCATGCTTCTTCCGCAGGGCGGCAGCCGTGGCTTCGTGCTGCAGCGTGGCCTCTTCGAGGGCACCGCGCATCTTCTTGAATTTCGCCTCGCGCTTCTTGTTAAGTTCGGTTTGAGCAGTGGTGGCTCCTCCAGCCTCTTCAAGTCTTTCAGTGATTTCCTCAAGTTCATTAGCCAGCTCATCACAATGCTTCTCTGCTTTTGCCCGCATCGCCTTCTCACTTACAGACTCCTCTTCCAGCTCTGCAACACGGGCCTATTTAACGAGGAAATAGCACATCAGGAATTAATAAGGGAACAGACAATTCAATGCTTAGGTTAACGCATAATTGTCACAGTATAATAGCACGGCCATTGTTCTGGAGACTATAAGCAAATCAAAGTCCCTTTGAATTTTACTGTTTTCCCATTGCAGGCAAAGGCTTAGCAACAGGAAAAGACATATGGATCAACTCATACCACCTTTAGATCACAGCTTTCTGTTGCTGTATTGGGTTTGCATGGTAAGGTTTCAGTAGCGGGGGGGCACAGGGGTGGCTTCTGTGAGAAGTTGCCAGAAGCTTCCCCTATGTCCAATACAGCCAATGCCAGACAGCTCTAAGATAGACCCCCTGCTGGCCAGGGCTGGGCTCATCAGCAATAGTGGCAGCACCTCTTGGATAACCTATTTAAGAATCAGGGGGTGAATCTGTGCAACACCAGCAGCAGTCAGAAGGCGGGAGTGAGAAGCTGTGAGAGAAACAACTCTGCAGACACCAAGGATAATGAATAAGGAAGGGGAGAAGGTACTTGGAGGAGGTGCTCCAGGCGCTGGAGCAGAGATTCCCCTGCAGCCTGTGGTGAAGACCATGGTGAGGAAGGCTGTGCCCCTGCAGCCCATGGAGGGCCACAGTGGAGCAGATACCCATCCACCTGCAGCCCATGGAGGACCCCATGCTGAAGCAGGTGAATGACCAAAGGAGGCCATGACCCTGCGGGAAGCCCACACTGAAGCTGGCTCCTGCCAGAACCTGTGGACCCAGGGAGAGAGGAGCCCATGCTGGAGCCAGTTTGCTGACAGGACTGGTGACCCCACAGGAGACCCACACTAGAGCAGTCTGTTCCTGAAGG